TTAAGGCTGTGAAAACTACAAGGAATTGCAATATTCACAACACATTTAAATAGTTAAAATGTTTTTTAGAGAGAGCTCACCCAGGACACATCTTTTCTCCTTTCTTCTCGTGCAGCAAAGCACAGTCGTAGCAGAAAACGTGCTTGCAGGGGATCTGAGGAGATAGAGGGCAAAACATGAACATTTCTCTGTGACTGCCTGCACAGAAAGATCAGCTCAACAAAATCAAAGAACCCTGTACTGATTCCCCCAGAGGGAAAATTAATTCATAAAACATACAAATACATACGGATACATACCATCCTTCCATATAGCTGGATAGGAAGTCCACATTTATCACAAAAGTGAATTGGTACTTCATCCCTCTCTCCAATCAAATTTAACTGTTAAAAACAAGATGAAAATCAGTTTAAACACACCCAAACTACAGCTTCTAGGGTCTTTCTACTTCTTTGTTTGCTCATTGGAGATTAAACGTGAGAATTCCCCTCAGAAGAACAAACGGGAAGATAACCGTTTGAACCAGTCTGAGTGCAGGATTCCTGAGACATCCTGTACTCTGTGCCAGACCTTACTGGGCGTCCACAGGTGACGTACCTTATAGTCCCAAAACAGCGGCTGGGGGAATCTCCTCTGACTTGCAAACACATCACCAGATTTAGCTCCACAATCAAACCTCTCCTCTTGCTTGAAGCCAAAGTTATCTGCACCACACGAGAGACACACATCAATAATGCAACGCAGAAAAAGAGACCGCCCTAAAACCCAGATAAGTGGTGAGTATGCCGTCCAATTCAATTTGCCCTCATGTCAATTATATAATATAGATATCCATAATTATTATGGATATCTCTAGAATATAAACCACTAAATGATTCGAGCCCTCAAAATTAAAAACGTTTGTATTCAAGGTTACAATTATTTACCTCAGTTGAGAGAATATAAGAAGTTCTACTACAGCTTCCTGGTTGCATTAATTGCTAACACATCAGACACAAAATTCTTCTTCAAATTGTTTCAAAAGTTAACTTATATATGGAAGAACAGGAAAACTACATGGGCAAAGGGGGACCACTACAAACACTGACTGATCCTTGTATAGCTATTATTAACTTTTTTTGTCTCTCACACACTTCTTAGCAAGCTCAACTGTAAAGACAGCACACTGTCTCAGTCCCACTAAGAAGGGAGTTTTTTTTTAAGGTCTCAGATCGCAGTTCTAAAAAGGCATAGTTGTGTGCGGCAGACTGTGCCTACCGTCTTCTCCAGCCTCACTTTTAGGTGGCCTGCCGCTGGGTCTCTGCACGCGGGGCTGAGGTTTGATCCTCAAGGGCTGCTTGGATATGAGTTTGATGGGGATTCGTCTGCGAACATCTGGGCCACCCAAACTCCCAGAGCCATCGCTTCCTTGAAGATCATTGTCTGCTCGGGGAAAAAAGGTAGCACAGAAATACAGAGTCACAGCCACCCGATAGGATTTTAGGAAACAATAAGTACAGAATTTAAATGACAAGTTGGAAGCCAATTACAGAACGAGCTTGCGGGAAAAGATGCCTGAAGTAAGGATGCGCAAATGCACTGTCACAGGGTGTGTCACAGTGGCCCCTACCTGTACACAAGACTTAAAACTACATTACAATCCTTTATTATGCTGGGAATGTCACTGAGGGGACACATTCTCTCACAGTAGGGATCAGGGTGTGAAATTAACTTGTACACATCTACCAGCCACTGAAGACATATGTTCAGATTCATCAGCCATTTCATAATAAATCATTATGCTGTGTCTGAAACAGCCACTTTCATATTTTACCAGCATTTGGTTGGTGCTGCTTTCCCACCCTGGTTGACCAAGAAACAATCTAAGTCAATAAGTCTTGTATGTTTGTTATATTAGTTATCACATCCAAATTCATCTTTTGTGAACTCGGTGGTCTGGATTAAGGACTAAAAGCCAAAAACGCTAAGGGGAGGACTTCAGCAAATATTGTGAAGACATGCCATTAGTTATGTGAGCTCTTTCCAACATCTTAGTTAGCTCAGTTAGCACTGTGCTAACTTTGCTCAGTTAGCATTCGCGCCCCAACTCAATCGCAGCTAGCGGTTACGCCTACTGACATGTGCGAAATAAACGCAATGTTCGCAATTTAACGCCTTAACTGTTCAAACTAGGCAGCAACATCACATGTGACCTTACACATTCATTCAGAACTTAACGTTAACTTTTGGTGAACACAGGTGTTGTGGCGTTACTCCATCGCTAGCCTGTGTTTAGCTAACGTTAGCCTGGACCATGCTAGCTATAACGCTGCTCTAGAAGACAACAGGAGGCCGTAGCAAACCCGTCTACTGCCCGGATGGTGTGCCGTTATCTGCGGAGCTGGTACAACAACAACTGTAAGTGCGTGGTGAAAAATATATCACAGAAAAGAAGTTTGCTACCGTCGGCCCTACTGGACATTTTGCTTACCGCTTTGGTCCATGATCCAACGAGTGAGCGCAATGCATTGTGGGATAGATGGGCGAGGAGAAGAGGTGAAGGCAGAGGAAAGGAAAGTGAGTATGGAGAGAGGAGAAAAGGATGTGAGGCGAAGATATGAGAAGAGAAAATAAGTCAAGGAAAGAGAAAAAACAATAGCAAGCAAACAATTCAGGACAGGATGAATAAGAGGTAACCTCTGAAAGTATAAACTCATGGATAATGTCTATCATTCGTTACTGAATGTCTAATATTAACAGATCTGCTGGTAATTAATGATTTAAAATATGTAT